CAAAGCAGGGCGCAGGTTCATATAGAATGCGTCGATTTACGCGTTGCGCTTCCAAAAGCGGCGAAGAGATTGATGTCACTTCGCCTCGTTAGCTCAGCGGTAGAGCATTCGGCTTTTAACCGAATGGTCGTGGGTTCGATACCCACACGAGGCGCATTCTTTTTGCGGGTTTTAGCTTTTGTCGTTAGTGTCGCCGTAGTGGACGTTGTTTTTTTTTGCTTAAGGAGGACGGTGGAAAAATAACACATGCAGGATTCTTTTTAGAGGGTGAAAGTAACAAGAGGAGTAGATGGGCGGAGGCTAGTACTCATCGCCGCCACACTCGGATTTGAGGTGGATGCGCAGGGCGTCCTTGCGCGGAAAGCCGCGCTGGCATTTTTCGCAGATATGGCGGCCCAGACGCTCGTGCAGGGCGGCGTGGCGGTGGAGGTCGTGGCGGCGCGTAAAGGCCTTGGGACACGACGCGCACTTGTACGGGCGCGACTGCTCCGAGTTCGGAAAGTGCGTCAGACGGTGCGTCTTCAGGTTGTACTGGCGCGCAAACGAGCGGTCGCACATGTCGCAGTCGAAGCGGCGCTGCTGGTCGCGCTTGTGCGGGGCGCCGGTGCGTCGCCGCTTGGCCTGCGCGTCGCTCGAGTCGCTGTGGTCGTCGTCGTAGCCGGCCAGCGCCAGCGCCGGCATCTGCGAGAATATGGCGCCGGGCACGTGGCCCGGCGGCGCCGACGCCGGGCTGGGCACGGCGGTGTGCGGCGCGACCGAGCGCACGAGCGGCGAGAGCGGCGAAAGCCCGGCGTAGGGCGCCGACGGAACCATCGGCGACGCCGACCCGCCCGTGCGCTGCGGCGCCGGCCACGCCGAGTGCGGGCGCTGCGGCTCGCCGGCCAGCGGCATGGCCGGCGAGAACTGCGAGCCCATTGGCGGCGCCGTGGTCAGCGAGAGCTGCGGCGGCGGCGCCAGGGCCTGCTGCTGGTGCCGCGGCTGCTCGGCCGCCTCCAGGCACACCTCGTCCAGCGGCGCAAAGAACGACTCGGTGGCCTGCGGCACCAGGTCGTTGTAGAAGCTCGCGTTGCTCGGGCCCGACGACTGCCGCAGCAGGCTGCGGTTGCGCGTCAGACGGCCGGTGGCCGTTGTGGTCAGCGCGTGCATTGCCGGGTTCGACGTGGCCAGCGCCAAGTGGCCGGACGCGGCAAACGCCGTGGCCGCCATCGGTCGCGTGACGCCGGGCGCGCCGCGGTCAACCATGGGCGGCGACAGATGGTGCGCCAGGCTGTTGTGCGGCTGCGACATCAGCGTCGGGTCGTCGCCGTTGGCGTTGAGGAACGCCGCGCCCATCACCGCCGTGGCCTGCGAGTCGCTGGCCATTGGCTGCCGCGGGCTCAGCGCCGCCAGCTCGGGCGTCAGCGACCCGGCGTCCCGCGCGTACGTGGCCGACGCCGCCAGCAGCGTGAGCCCGGCCTGCGCCGTCTGCGTGCGCGGGCTCAGCGCGCCCAGCGCCATCGACGCGTTGCGGCCGCCCAGCGCCTCGGCGTCGTCGAACAGCGCCAGCTCCGGCGTCTTCTCGGCCGGCGGGTCCGGCAGCGTGCGGATCTCCGGCGTCGTGAACACCTCGGACGGCCGGAAGAACCGCGGCGCCTGGGGCTCCATTGCCGGCGACACCGCCTTCGCCGGCGA